GTGGCTCAATACGCAGCAAATGCTGCCCCTGGTGTTCCCGAGGAGGAAATACCCCAAATCCATCCCTCGGTTCTTCAGGTTTTGCCCAGAGACCCTGGCGAACGTGCGCAGCCCTGGTCACCGCTGTCATATTTGGATTGGCTTGTTGTCAGTTTTCTTTAAACTTTCTTCATTGTAACATCACTCGCAATTCATGTCGTAGGCTTCCTAATACACATGATAAAACATTAATGTAACAGATCCTGAATAATTAATTACTTTTTCCTTCTGTTGTCACTGACTTGTGACCACTTACCTGACATCGTACCCTCACACGAGCTGTCACGCTTGAGCATTTTTGCTGTGTGAATCCCCTGCTGCTGTGGAAGCTCTGAGTTCCCCACATCGGCAGCCCCTTCCAGAGCAGCAATGCATTTGTGCTGGGTTTATAGCCAGGAATTCTCACCATGGACATCCCATTGTGCTAATAACTTTCCAAAAATGGAACAAAGAGACTGTGATGAACCAATGTCACTTAAAAACTTAAGTACATGCTCCAACCGAGGCACACACCTCGCTCATCTGTGTTTACAAATCATGTATCGAATTGCTCCGAAGTTATGTGAGTTCCACCGGAATGGCACATGCTTAATATCAGTCCTGTGGAGGACTTTGCAAACTGGAGTTCAGCCACATCCATTATTTGCTTTTCAGCGCGGGTTCTTGGCCGTCTCGAGTGACTGCAGTTACACATATGTGTATTTCCTGGGGTATTCCCAGCCAGGCTGGCTCACGTGCCAGGCAGCTCACCTGGTGAACTGTTTAACTTTGAGGCAGAGCCTGACTGACTGCGCCTGAGTCAGCTTTCTTGTCCCTAAGTTTTGGGCACAAGGTACATGCAATTATTGCTCTGTGTTAACTGTAGACTAAGCCATCTTTAACACACACACACACACCCCTCCCCCCACACCAGGTTTCTAATTAAGAATATAATCCCTGAAGTGATCTAAAGAAACAGTGTCTACACCTTATTTAATAAACAGGGAAAAATAACCCGAACAACCCTGTACCATCACTTATTACCTAGAAAAATACCAAAAATGAGGGCAGTGGAGCCACTGGGGCATTGTTATCAGGTTCTTTCAATACCATTTCACATATTTCTCACATTATCCCCAGGCTGGTAGAGCATACTTTTTTACATTCTTTTTGTCTAAACTGTAAACAAAGATCAGAAATTGGCACTTCTTCTTTCTCAAAGGAGAATCAGAAAATCAACTTTATAATGCCTGTTTTGTGTGCGCCGGAGTGGTATTGTATTTACACATGTTTATCTAACACGCCCGCTCTGTTTATCCAGACAGACTGAAAGAAGGATAAAACTACAGGTCTGTCTGTATCCAAATACAAGTAAACTAGAGGAGGTGAGCATCGGAATTGCCTGTAATTGCCTGACAAACTGCTAGAAATGCTGCTTTGGGAACAGGCGATGACTTCACTGTCCGTAACAGCTGTCTACTATTGATCCACAAAGACTTTCTTTCCCAAAACTGATGGACACAGTGAAAACTTTTCTTGTTTTACTGCAACAACTGGACACAGAACATAGACTTAGACTCCCAGGAGTACATCACGTTAGTAACTCTGATCCTCTGCGTAAACACCTTGTGTGAACTTTATCGTTACCACAGTCTCCAGTTACAGAACTTAAACTAGAGCAGGTTATAGAAACATTGCAGGAACAAAAGTAATTTCCAAGTATGACCATTAATCACCCATGCCAAGCCTAATCACCTACTGAGGTCTCTTCATTGTTCCACTAAGGCAGGTATTTTATCTTAATTAGAGCTACTACTTCAAAAATTAACACTAAAGACAATTAAAAATTGCCTAGCAGAACAAACGTTACATGTTTTCACCCCTTAATTCCATCAAATTCTCCAATGTGGAAAAGGAAGTATGAAGGACCGGTCAGATTTCTGACTTCTTCCATCATTGGAAAGCCACACAGAATTTTTCTGCTAGAAATTTTCTTACTGAATATTTCTTACTGAATATTTCTGTATATAGACAGTCTCGGGGTAAGAGCCCTCTTTGCACTGCGTGCTGTCTAAGTACCACCATTACCATTTACAGCTTGTCCTGGAAAATCTGATCTGCATTTTTACATACATGGTTCTTCTAGACAATCTTTTTTTTTTCCCTGTTGTGAAGACAAATGTAAACATGATGTCATGGTGCTTCAAAGTCTCTGTCTTGCAGAAGCTCTTCAGGTAAAAAACCAGCCAGAGAAATACTTCCTTAAACCACAACATTTAGTGAGGGCAATAACAAAGATGAAGAAAGACTGTACCTGCACCCTGTGTCGGCCCCTGCCAAGCCAAATCGAGTATTGGTTTCCTAATGAAATAGGAATCAGTGATGTTGATTTGAGGCATTGTCTTAGTCCAACTGGTGATGTCACAGACAAGATTTATACACTGATGGAGGTGCTTTCTTCCAAGCAGCTCAGCACAATACTTTTGTATCTCTCTTAAGAGACAGAAAAACAGATCTGGAAGAAAATGCCTGTGGGAACAAGAAGGATGTTGAGAGCTTGCACCTTTTAGGTTAATGAAAAGGAGGTGATAAACATGATCTGGGATGTGGTAGGTATCAAAAGATGAGTAAAACTAATCACTGGAACAATTTACCAATTTTCCTTTTGATCAGAATGTATGTAGTCTTGAAATAGCACCAGTAATCAGTGAGCCAAAATTTCACAAACTTATTTTGTAACTTTGCAGCACACAGTTCAAATGTGGCAAAATGAGAAATTGACCGTTCATTTTGACAGCGAGGTTTTGAAATAAAAATCATACAGTCTTGAAAGTCTCCAGAAAATTCCAAAGGCAGCAGAAATTAAGATCGGTCAGGAAGGCTCTGAGGGGACATACTCCATGACTTGGTACAAACCTCAGTTCTTTCAGAACAGTGTTCCTTTGTAAGAATGAAGTTACACCAAACATGAATCTTATTTTATTATTCTAAAGAAGCCAATAAAAGTGTACAGAAGTTATGTTAACAGAAGGAAGTGGGGCATCAAGGGATATTACCTTTCCTAAAAGAGATCTATCTGAGATGGATTTCTGAGCACTTGCTTTGGTAACCAGGGAGATAGGTATAAGATATATCAAATCTCAGAATATTTACATATCTAACTCACAGTTTAGGTATGGAAATAATATCATCAACATAAGTTTACTTGAGTGTAAGCCTCAATCTGTTTACTGGGCTTTTTCATCTCAGTTTTATAAATGTTGTATCTCTATGGGGTTCCAGGGACAACTGATGGTATTGGCTCACTCTAATAGTGCACAGACCATTGCTGCATTTGAACTGCTAAAATACAAGAGCAGCTCATTTCTTACAGTGAATGCTGGAAGAAGGGCACTGAACAACAAATCAAAGGTATGGTTTCTATGGAAAAATGCGGCAGTTGTTCACCATTGCCTGGCCAATCAGAGTATTTGCTACCAGTAGAGGGGCAGTGAAATGCAGGGATTTCTTTTGGACAAATCCATGAGAAATAAGGTTTCATTTTCTTTGCTTCTGAGAGAGTAACTTGTTAAAAGAACCTTTCTTATACTGGGGGCCCCAGAGCTGATCACGGAACTGCAGGTGGGGTCTCCTGAGAGCAGAGGGGGAGAATCACCTCCCTCAATCTGCTGGCCAGGCTCCTTTGGATGCAGCCCAGGACCCAGTTGGCTTTCCAGGCTGCAAGCGCACACTGCTGGGTCACATCCAGCTTTTCAGAATGGACAAAACAGTACTTAACCTTCCCAACTCCTCAAAAATCTACTCCCCTGGTCCCAAAGAGGTCTGATTTAGGCTTCATGCGATTCAGGTAAGCCATGCATCATGTTTCTGAGTAACTACTATTTTCTGTTAAGCTACACTGGAAAAATTCTTATTTTTCTTGCATGGCCACATTAATCATTCTCTTTAATTTTTTAGTTACTGCAAGTTGTTGCTATTATGTTTGCACAACATAATTTGATGTTTAAAATCTCAGTAAATTGCCCCAGCTGCTTATCAGAGGCAGCAATGTGGGCCCAAATGTTCATTCAGAGGCTAAGCCAGACTTGGTCTGTGTGACGCCTATAATGTGACTCATCACCTACTCTCTAAAGAGAGGATGACTGCTGTGCTGCAGACAGAGTCGGGACTGAAGAATATTTCCTCTGTTGCCTTGCAACAGTCTACTGATTCCTCAGAGGGGAAATAGATCCTTGCATTTGGGCCCCATTTATTGTAACTACCATTCTAAGTGGTTGGACTTATTTGCAGATAACAAGCAACAAGGAAGGTAGATCCAAGTCGTACGTTCTTGTATAACACAGTCTTCCCTTTCCAAACATACCTTTGTCAAAAGGTCTAAGCATCTCCAATATTTGAAGGGGGCCTACAAGGATGCTGGAGAGGGACTCTTCATCAGGGACTGTAGTGACAGGACAAGGGGTAATGGGTTAAAACTGAAACAGGGGAAGTTCAGGTTGGATATAAGAAAGAAGTTCTTAACAGTGAGGGTGGTGAGGCACTGGCACAGGTCGCCCAAGGAAGCTGTGAATGCCCCATCCCTGCCAGTGTTCAAGGCCAGGCTGGACAGAGCCTTGGGCAACATGGTTTAGTGTGAGGCGGCTCTGCCCATGGCAGGGGGATTGGAACTAGATGATCTTAAGGTCCTTTCCACCCCTAACTATTCTATGATTCTACGATCTCCTACCTTCCCTATATAAATAGGGGAAAGTTTTATTTCACAAGTAAACAGATATGAAGATGTTACTTTTAATAAAAGAAGGAAGCTTACAGTGACCTATGCAGTAAGTCTGGTAGGACTGATCTGATAAAACTTTGGGTTATTATTGACACAAATGAGAAAAAAAATACAAAAAATTCTCAAACAGTTGTTGAAAGGCATATGGATCTAAACATAACAGCCTAGAAAGAATCTTGAAGACCAAGCAGAGATAAAGTGCATACAGATAAAACAGGTCATTCATTTTTTTTATAGATGTTGTTCAAAGAGCTTTGTGACCACTTAATCCATTCTCTCTTCTTGGAAACTGTCTGCATCATTCATGTAGTCTTCAAGATCACTGTATTTCTGCAAATAAAATAAAACCTGTATTGTTTTATCAATGTTTCATAAGTGAATTACATAAAGACTGCTTCTTCTTGTTCTTCAATACATTAACAAGCATGCCAACAATTCAGATGTAATGATATCTGAAAGCTTGCTAAATACAATTGTACATGTTGTCTTAAAATAGTCCATAAAGTGTTTCTGAATAATTCAAAGTACTTCAGCCTAAACAGAAGAGTAAAATAGTCTTGCTGTGCCTCATGTACGTGTTTCCAATGCTTCTAAGTTACAGCTTGAGTTTGTGGTATTGCTGCTGTCACATGAAATGGGAGCCTGCCCACCACAGCCCAGAGATCATGCAGCTGTCAGAAAGCTTCATGTCACAAGCTGACACAAACTCTGCGTGAGCGCAGCAGCATACCACTGTGAGAGAGACGGGGTCATCAGAAGTGGATGAATGGTTAAGCTGAGTTGTATTACTGAAACCCTGTAATTCAGAACTGATCAATTAAATCAGACATTTTATCTCAGCCTGCTTTTATCTACTTGGAAAAGAACAGATCAAACAACTAGGCTGTACCTTCTGAATCCACCCATTGTCTTCCAACTGGCTGAAAAGCCGTTCTACTGTGTCTTTGACTGGTTCATCTTCCAAAACATCCGACTCAGTAATGGAGCTGCAATGCAGGTACAACTTGTATTTGAAGTGCTTCAAATTATGGTAAACTCTTGTCCGATTTGCACACACCATGCCGACCTTCAAAACCTAGGCCAAAGTGAACATATCACTCTCTGATAGAACTGCGATTATCTTGACAATATAAAGAATGGCTAAGTCAGTCCAGTAAGATTTTATGTCAGTCTAGGAAAATGCTTTGAATAATGAAATAAACAGAATGACATCACATGCATAAAATCAGTGTAAACCCCATGTAGTTTTTACAGCCACAGTAGAGTAATTTCAGAGCAAGCAGGCAGCCAGTGAGTCTGCAATGGCAGGTTATCGGTACTGTTTTCTTGCACACAGAACATGTTTATAGTTGGTAGTATCTCTCCTATCTCCTGATGGAACTTCATACAAAATCATTAACAATTTAGGCAACCATCATGTTGTGAAAGCAGAGAAAGAGAAATTATTTGATTACTTTTTCATCAGTATGTACTACTTCCCAGAGACATGAAATACCAGTTTTAGCATTTTGTAGAGTAATAGTATTCGATATTTCTTCAAAAAATACATATAAATACAAATAGACATACACCTAGAAACATTTATTTAATATATAGAAAGATTGTCTTTCATAAAATTAAAATCTGAAAACTGAGGATTTATACAATACAAATGTTAATATGGAACTGCCTAGGAGGTATAGCTAGGCCATAATGCTGTAGAAATCAAAGCCTCTGCTGATTCTCCCACTTAACACCAGTTTTACTTCTACAATTTCTGTGCAGAAAAGACACAACTGTCTTATTTAATAGTGTTTTTTACAGCAATCTTGATAGATAAACAAGTGGTAAATATGCATGAAAATACATAATCAGAGCATGGATTAGAGGAGATTCATTATCATCTATCAGCACTAACATTAAATACAGGCATGTGCTTGCATGTATCTTGAACTCAGATGTTATTCAAAGATGTTAAGTGGTAAGGAATATCTGAAAATACTGGGTAATATACTGTTCGGTTACAAGAATCTTTGGTTATCCTAAATCTTCACAAAGAGTACATGAAATTGGAGGTGTGGGGAAGAAGAAAGAATCAAAGTTCATCTATATTTAAGGACAGACATTCTGCATTTCACAAGAGTGGGTTTTGTTCCATTTCTACAAGAGCAAGAGTTCAAGTATATAAAATGGCAAATTAGAAGAGGAATTCTGTCCCCTGTGAATGACCACAGATGCACCCATGGAAGCAAAGCCTATCGGGTAAGAAATCCACATCTGGCTGGTTTTCAGAGGTCAAAAAGTGTTTTGCTACACTCAAAAGCAACATGATTAATATGTGCGTAAAGAAAATCAGCTCCTGATACATACAGGAGCAACTGATGTAGTTTTACTGTGAAAAAAAACCCACGACCAAATGTTTGCATCTGTGAGCAGTTCCCCAAAACACCCAACCTACTTGGTATCCACACTTACTGACAATGACAGTAAGAGAAAAGCATAGTTATAATGATTTTATAAGCTAAATTTATATTTATCAGCATTATATATTTTCTTAAATATAGGAGTATACTTAGTTTCTTAAATACATCAACCAGCAGCTCAACTGATACAAGCAGGCATAGTATGACTGAAGCCAAGACACATTCACTTAAAGAACTTCTGATCTGATCTTCAGTAGATGGTTATTAACTGAAATTTTAACCATCTCAAGATGATAAAAAATTCCTATCACTGTATTTCAACTCTACTGCTTATGTACATGTACTTATGTACCAGCTCCATTTTCTACTCTCCCCAAAACTGAAAAGCTGTGTTCAGAAGCTACAGGTGCTTCTGAAGTGCAAGAACTACCAACCAATGCATATATTTGATTCACTCAGATTTCCAGAAGCAACATTCCAAATACTGAAACAAAAAAGAACTGAGCTGTGGTGTTTCACAGAGCATTTCACAAGTTTTCAAGTATCCCAAGCAACAAGGTGCAGCATCCTGAATATTATGTGATGTATAATAGAAGATACCATCTTGCATCCAACTGATGGCCCAGTTGTTCCCCTGCAACAGGGGATATTTAGAAAGTTAGTATAAGATGCAGAACAAACACCACAACAATCCTAACATTAACATACAGCTTCTAGCAGTCAACACTTTAGACAGCCTGTATCATCCCAATTACTGAGTTCCATAAGTCTGGTAGAAGCTTCTCCAAGAACCTGTCTAATTCCTTTTGGGACTCACTAACACTTTTTGATTCCAAAGTATCTTATGGCAAAGAATTTTATAGTTCATTTATGCACGAGGTGTAAAATATTTCCACCTTGGAGAAATTCCAGAGCCAAATAGCTAAATATTGTATAATGTAATCACGTATTGTGTTTTTAAAGTAAGAAAGACTGCCTAAAAATACAATGCTATTTCCGAATGCAGCTTTGGAAAGAATCTCAGTACTGTACTGATGCTAATTTTTTCCTCTCAGTGACTCTGTCCTAATGCTTAACTTATCTCCTCAAGCTGGCCGTATCAGCCAAAGTTGTGTTAAATCACTTTGTATGGAATGCAGAAGCACAGCCTGACAATAGCACGACATGTAATGACTGAATCCATGTCCTCTAAGCGCGATTACAAACAGAAGTAGAACACCAAGACTGAGAGCAGAAAAGGTTTACAATCCGCGTGACACAGAAGCAAAGAGGTGTGGAGGACACCTATACCTCTAAACAATTTGATTCTTCCTGACCATGGAGGAATGAGAATTGGCACCCACGCACAGAACAATCACTGCAAGCCTAAGCAAAACTGGAACAGCTGTTTCTCTTCTCTTTCTATTGGCAAAACAGAATATTTGAGAGATGAGAGAAAAGGAAAGTTTTATGCAGAAGAGGAGGGTTGGAGGTCTGTTTTTGTTCTCTCCACATCCACTTTTCTTGGGTATTTTCAAATAGAACTTTAGAAAACAGTCCAACTACGTGCTTCCATTCAACCTGACCTGCCAGTGCTGAACTGCCTCCTCTTTCGGTCAATTAAGTTCCTGAAGTGCCAGTTTCATGTAGCTCTGTGTGCCTTTTCTCTTTTTTTCCTCCTTCCTTTTTTCTCAGTTGGCAGGATGAGTTGATCAATGTGTTGCCAGCAGAACTTCAAACACTACTTGAGAACAGTGCTTTTAGCAGTCTAACTTACAGGTCACCATAAGAACATGAATGTTGCATTACAAAGGCACTATCAAAAGTTACTGGAAAGTGCTCAATAACTCTGTCTCCTGGGTCTGTTCTACAGCCCCTGAGCTATATTGGCAGGCAGCTCAGCAGATGCTGGGGTCACAGGGTAAAAAAAAAAAACAAAAAACATATCTCATTTTCTACTGTTAAGCTGAAGAGGACAAAAATGAACTAGGAAGTTAGCTCAATATTCAGAAGGATATTTCAAGTTTTTTCCAAAGTGAAAAACGGCCAGTGCTTTATGTAGGACAACATTTGGACAGCAGAGAGCGAATTTCTGCTGTTATTTCCACGGTTAAGTTGGATGTTGAGCAAAGATTAAATTCTTGTGCTAGTTCACTTATTATTTCTGATTAGGTAAGGCACGCACTTCCCATGAAAACCTGCTCTACGTTTAGAGCCTCATATGTCAGGAATAATGACTGTACAATGGAATGCAGTATCAGTGCTAGCATAAGTGCCAAGGACTTACTGTTTTCCTGCAACAAACGTGGGGAAAAGCCTTGCTGGAAAAGCCTAACTCTTAACTATCATGCACACACAGACTTACCAAAGCAGAGTATGAACAACTGCTGCTCAGAAGGGTTTGTCATCTATTTAAGAAAAGCTGCAGCACAGATTTTCCCAGATTCTACATTACACAACAGAGCCCAATATGATGACATTGTGATAATCACTCTGGCACCCCTCAAATCTCTTAAATTAGAATATTTGCAAAGATAAACAATACAGGCGTGAGCTTCAGTAAGGTGTTTTCCAGTTTGATACAGGCTTCACTTAATTTGTATGTAAGAAATCCCATTATACCACATTTCAAAATATATTGTAAATACACCTTGCTCTGACACTTTCTTCTCTTTAGTAAATACTGTGAGGAACTTCAAGCTGTATCCAAAAATTATTTACACTCACAAAGAAAAGGAATACACCTTCTAAAGCTACTAAAAACTTGGATATCAGCTTGGTACACAACCAGCAGTATTTTATTCTTGACAAATTGTGTGCTTTGAGTTATCATAAAAGGTCATAGATTACATTATGTAAGAAGATCATACGCATACTTAATCATAACAATTATTGATAGCCGTAAATTTGAAGGGAAGATCCCTAAATATTAGGAACACACAGGTTCTTAAGAGTCAAGGTCTTCAAAAGTCTCAGCTGTGAAATGTAAGAAAATTGATTGCTCAAGTCATCTGACTGCTCAGTGCAACATGTAACAACAGGAAAGGTGTGTTTCATTCCCAAAATAGAATTTAATCCAAAACTCCCTAGTAGAGACAACTGAGTAACAAAAATACATCTTCTAGTTTGGACAAGTAATTCTGATAATGCAGTAGTGAGAAAAAGGCTCTAATAAAATGTACTGAAGTGGTTAGGAACAAGTCTTCTCAAAAGGAGACCAGTAATTCTGCCCAGGAGGGTTGTGGAGTCTCCCTCTCTGGGGAAATTCAAACCTGCCTGGACATGCTCCTGTGTAACCTGCTCTAGGCGGCCCTGCCTTGGCAGGGGGGGTTGGACTAAATGATCTCCAGAGGTCCCTTCCAACCCTAATGATTCCATGGTTCTGTGAATTTCAAGTGTCAATGCAACTGAGATGTCAAGATACTTCATCCTGAGTGAAGAGCTACATGGTAAAGAATGGATTTGAAAAAAATCCAAAGCATGAAGCAACAAATTCTGACTAAGCTGCACTTGGACTATGAGAATGACAGTGGCCCTATTCGCTCAGTGCTCTGATGCAGAGCAAACAAGAACTACTGGGGTGCACATGGGTGCTCCAAATACTAGAGGCATAGTAGGCACAGAATTAGCAAACCTAGTGACCCAATGCAGAACAAACCTGACCTGCAACAAAATAGAAAACACAATCATTCAATGGAGATGATTGCCTGTTATACAGAAAGTTACTTTTATAATTTTTCTGAAAGATAATCAATGCAAGATTCCTGCTGTGAAAGTCTTACGGGCATTACAGGCACACAGAAAGGCAAGGAGTTTTCAAATGATCCAATTGCAGTGGAAAGGCATTTTGATATTTAGAATATATGTAAAGCTAAGGCAAAATGTAATTTGTGATTTAAAGCCTCAGACTCTGGCATCAGATCTATTCAAGATCAAAAAAAGTCACAGTATTTTTCAGGTACTTGGTGAAACCAGGAATTCCAGGCATGTTCAGAGCATCACAGTTGTGTAATTCCTTTTTCACTGGTTTTCCTTTCTTTAAGATATGCATCCACTTTAGCATTTTGAGTCTTCTATTAAATGTTCTCTGGCCAAACAAAAAGGTACTGAGAAATAACTGAGTGCTTGTATCAGCACTCTGGTTAGTATGTGAATCTTCATGCATGCTTTCAGCCTTTTTGACACATGGTTTCAGACTGCCTCCCCATGCACCACAAAAGATAAGCATGCCGAGTAGGATGTGCAGGATGTCAGGTACTTAGAGTTTCCTTGCCCTGAATGACACTCAGACTAGATTTGAGATGTGAAATTGAGAGATTAGAAGTAGAGGAAAAATTGAGGCAAATGTCAATTTTTGACTTGAGGGTGAGAGTTATCAATAAACCCTATTGTATGTCTTCTTGATCATGAAGTTCAGCTCATGGCTGGACTGGCTAGCACTTACCACAGTGCAAGTACATGTGCTGCATCAGGTGCTAGTATTAAGTGGCAAAAGTGAGAAGGAAACAGCACATCAATCATTGTGATGTAGGCAAAAACAAAGGTCATAGAAAACCATCACATTTATTTTCTTCATAAGAGGTTTATTTGAGGATACTTTTCATTAGTGCTTTCCCAACATATAAGGGGGGGGGGGAGGAGAGGTATGCCTCTATTCATCCTTTCAAGTTTCATAGGAACTTCCTTCATAATTCCTAGCTAAATCCAGGAATATACTCCTCCAGACTGCAAAGTGGTCATAATATTTTAAAAATTAATAAGGTTTGGACATGGAAGTGCAGTGGCTTAACTCCTGTCTGTAGCATTACAGACATTAGATGCATTGATAGGATTTCTATTCTTTGTATGATTTTCCGTACCACTAGACAAAGCTTAACAATAATCATATAGGGTGCTTGTTTGAAGTTACCTGTTTGTCATCTGACATGAAGTCATCCACTTCCAAAGTTCTGCTATTATAAAGCTTTCCAGAGAGCAGCACATTAAACTTACAGTATCGGTTCAATTCACAGGCCTGACAAGACATATATTTTGGATTTTTCAAGATTATGTGAACATTTGGGTAACAATCCACACGCTCCTGAAAAACAGATTTCAAATAACATTAAAGAATCTCTTTAATATGAAAGATGTCTGAAATAGGCTGCTGACTACTCCGTATTCATACAAGATTAGTATAAGAGAAAGCAAGGAAATGAAAATTTGAAATCTCTCACCATTCAGTTGTGAACATATACCTCCTCAATCATTTTCCAACACTTCACTCTGTTCTAGTTCATTAATTCTTTCTTTTGGCCTCAGACCTAAGGAATGGCTTCTTCATCCTGGCACTTACTTTTCTCTCACCTCCCTTCTCTTTTTGGAGGGGGTAGGCATGCAACTGTATCAGTTGGACTGCTTCGAATAAATACACTGTATTTCTCCACTGGCCACATTATTATTACAGTGATGTTAGATCACCTTATCACACTAATACTATTCCAGCAATTTGTATGCAACGACTGGGTTGCTTTATATTGACTTCATTTTTTTTTTTTTTGAAGAAGTAGAAGGTTCATTATGAACATACTGGTTTATCTTTTTTGTGAGAAGAAGAAATTTTGTTATAACATTTAGCAGGTCACAAAAAAATCCTCAAAAAGTCATCTGCTGAATTAGCAGAAGCATTCAGATAACTCAGAAGAGATTCTGTTCTGTTACCTGAATATTTATCAGGTTATACTTCTGATATAAATATCAGAATAATCAAAATAAATAACAGAAGTATCAAAACAAGTTACATAAGAATGACTTTCTATTTAAAGTAAATATATATATAGCACTTACCGTATCTTTACAGAGAATTACAGTATTAAAAAAACCACATCAGTAATAGTATGATTTGGAACCCACTTCACCATTGAAAGTAGAAACTACATACCTTGTATCGATCTTTCCAGCGACTTCCAGAGATTAGGCTCTCAAGACGAGGCTGAATGAAGCGGTCATCCAAATAATGAAGTGAGAGCAACATATCCTGTGCATACTTCTTTTGTCTTGTTCCACCTGTTCATTGAGAGTTGTTATTAATTTGCTGCCAACTCTATCTTGTACAAGTTTCTTCAAATAAAATCTTTAAGGACATTATGCTTCTGCATACTAAGAATAATGAATGATTTTAACAGATTATCCCTGAATACATTTGCTACTGTTATCCATAAAAGCGATCCATGCAGCTTTGATAAACTGAAATATTTGTTTTAAAAGTCTGTATAACAAGACGTACATGAATAAACTCTACAATCAATTTTGAAGGGAAAAGCTGTCATCCCAAATGGAGAGCCATTCACTCAATGCCATTTATAAGAATGGAAAAGTGGGGAGGGAAGTAAGTGTCTTGTTTTTTGGCCAGTTTATAAAAGTACTCATAATGTACAAGGGAAGAGATTGCAATCCACGAAAACAAATAGCTCTGAGCTACTTCACAGCAGAAATTCTGACAACTCTCTTCATCACTTACAAAGAGCACACAGGAACCAGCCTTTACACCGCAGCGGCATAGGCAGATGCCTTGAGTTAGTCAGCGTAAGTGCTTCCAAATACTTACTCAAACAAAAGAAATAAACAAGTATGAGGATGGGTAAACCCACCACTGTTCCACAACTGTCTCCCAAATATGTGCTGGACTCCAGGGATTAAACAGAACTTTCACAGGTGTAGGGTAATTCATACTATCTTAAGCTTCAGCATGTACAGACATGAGTTAATTCAGCTACTTTCCTGTGTCTTTTAACAATGCTGTTATCAAGGGAACACAACCAAGATGGACCACTGGCTATCTAGCTTCTTATATAAAACCAGTTAATTGTCATTATAGCCACCATAATTACAATTCTTTTTCCATATACACTTTACACATATGTTCAGTAAGTCAGCTATGCTCAGAACTTGAAGAGGCTGTGGCAGACCATAAAGAAATCCCTCACAATAAAAAGCAAGCCTGCACTCTAATACTACAGCAGCTGCTCTTGATTCAAACTCATTCAGATATTCACTTCCATTAACTCAGAAAAATCCATTCTGTGCTATAAAATATATCTTTATAATGCTGGGTTGTGTTCATACTATACCATGTTCTTCAGAAAGACATACAACCTTCAGAATACAACCTCCAACTCACCTGCACAGCTGAGCTACTTCCAGCCCCTTGGCAGTAAGTTGTTAGTTTTATAGAACAGATACAATTTGAAATAGATGGAAGTTAGTTTACTTTTTACTTTCCATAAACTTGTTTTGACTTGGTAAAACAAAACAAAACTAATATCTGAAAGAACTAGCAGCAGTAGATGAAAGACATTTTTAGCTCCAGGAATACAGAGCCTTTATTGTGAAGTCTGTGGGGTACTTCAGTTTCTCCATTGTCTCTAGTTCCTGATGACATCAAAACTTCTCTCTTTGGCACTTTGGTGACTCCTTCCACAACCTGACACTGACAATCCTCCCTCATTAATCCCATCTTTACAGTGCTTCTGAAACTATGTGTGAGGTTGCCATTCAGACCCACTAGGTGAAGTGCCAAGAAGCACTTCCTCAGCAAGAACAAGACCAGAAGTACTGACTGCCAGTGAAATTCATCTGAAAGCAAGAATGCTAAAAAAAAAAAAAAATATGGAATAATTAATCTCCATAAATAATATTATTTATTATCTATCAAATTCCTCAAAAAAAAAGCTATGAAGCACGTGAAATTTTGACAGATCAGCTGACCTTGCAATGTTTTCATAGAGATATCTACTTTGAAATTCATTTGCTTTCCTGCTGGAACTGTTACTGCCGATCAGTAACACAGAAACACTTCCCTGTATCTCAGAATGCCTCCCAGGCTTAAAGGAATTAAGTCTACACATTTTTCTAAGATTACTCTATCCTCTTCAGAAAGATTTCCCGCTGCCCCCAAGTCAGAAAGCAGCAAAACCAAAACCAGATCTCGGGACTCACAGTACTATAATCAGGAGACACTTTTAAATGCCTTTGTATAACTTTGAATGCACTATTGTATTACTTAATGTGATTTACTTACCATATAATGAGCTCAGAAAAGTGTCATCAATTGCATTTATGAGGAAAGCCTTTACTATTCTTTTGAAGTGTACATAATGATCACAGCGAGATACTGGGAAGAAAGCAATATAACCAGAGTTTACCAAAAAAGAAAAAAAGAAGATGTAAGCAATGTTAAAAGTCCTCTAAGAAGAATTCTTTTCTTCCATTTTCATAAATTTAGAATTTTAAAGTAATTTAAAACTGGATTTAAAACTCATTTGAATATACAACATCCGCATCTTTAAGACCTTGTCTTTACATAGGGCTTCTCATCCCAAAGATCTTAATGAATTTTAGCATTCTTAAGTCGCACATCCTCTCAGCAAGAAGATCTACAAACAGTAAAAGAAGAAAATAATTCTATGAATAGCAGGAAATAATGCAAACCAGAGAAGGCCAGGCTTATTGTTTTGGGGTTTTGTTCATTTTTCTCTTTTCTGATTTTCTTTCAAATATGAACAATTCTGCTCAGGTCTTTACTGGGGAAGAAATAACAAAAATGCTTGTGACCATCTACACCAGCGCTGACTGTTCTGTCAGTACATACCTGCTTGTGAACAATAAGATACACAAGAAGATAACTAGCATAAAATTCTGCTTCAAATCCCTCTGCTCCATCCAGATACTAGTTTTTAAAAAAGAACAACCTGAAAAGTTTTCTCACTTTCTGCAGTTGGGCTGAAATTGTCTCCTGAATTCAAAACCCCCCCAGAGACCAGTGCTCCTCAGTCTCAACCACTCATCAAATACCCTAAAAAAACAAATTAATAAAAATCCCACATCCCCAAAACCCCAAACTCATGGCAAGAATTTTACATCAATCTCCAGAACAGAATGTGGCCAGAATTAACATAGCTGCTCTTAGCATGTATTGTAACATGGAGGATGCTTTTAGGTCTCCACAGGAATGACTCCATCATAGGTAGCCTATTTCATCCTAAATCAGACCAACTTAAAAAATCTGCAATAGGATTTCCCTTCCTTCCCCTCAAATTATACCCTCCCTTTAATAAGATACAGAAAGACTGTAAAAGTTTACTGTGGAAATCAGAGTACTTCCACAAGAAATTCAAGCCTTTAGGAATCTGCTTTTAAACTATCCTATCCTATTACATGGTATTTGTATTTTCACGCCATTAATATTTATTACATCACTACAAGAATGCTGTACATATAGATTGTCACTAATTTTGATCTTACAGTGTGGGACATAGTTTTCCAGCAACTTGCTATTTGATGTGTTCAGTTCCTTGTGTTGTGGCTGTTTTTCACCCATTATGTGCTCTGTGTCATCATCATCTTCTTCCTCTACTATAAAATCTTTCAAGCTGTCGCAGTCAGTTTCACTACCTTCTGTGGGTGTGAGGGGCAACTGAAAGAATGGTTCCTCTTCTATTTCTGCTTCACTATTAGAATCCTAAGGAAATTTAAAAAAGTATTTCAAACACAAGAATTTTCAGTATTTGCAGTGACAAAATACTACATGTACTAGATAAGATTTTTGACCTTCTAATTACACCTTTTGTTCAATTAGCAAGAAATACTGCTTACAAAAAATACATTATTCTGTCTAGAGGACAATTACTTGACCATCTCCATGTACTTCTCTTCAAGCTATTTGTAGGAATTAAGCTAACATGAGATCTCTAAATTACTTCAGCAGGTATTTTGCTTCTTCATAAAAATAACTTGGTAGTCTTCTCACGCTAAAGAAGAGTCCTCTTCATGATACGTAAGTTTTTCCTTTCTGACTACGTACAGAAGATACCTGCATTCTAAGCTGCTTGTCATCAGAATGCCTGAAAGAGCAAATTAAAAGAAATTCTTAACTCTTCAGAGATTAAAAGTAAACCAAAGAAAGGTTTTCAGCCATCAATATTGCTCTCATTAATGTGACAACTGTTAAAATGTGACAGAACTACTGATTTGTCAGAAATAACCCCCACCAAAATAAATAAAATCCCACTGATTTATATCTATTTGTCTTCCCCTACGTTCAATATTTTCTCCAATTGAATTTCAAAGGTAAAATCCAGACCTCACAATTTTCACTTCTGCCGGATCTCCGAGTTGCTCTTTGTCTTGCAAGTTGTTTCAATTTCGCAAACACTTTCTGTTTCCTATCAGTAGAAACATTTTCTGCAGAGCCGGTTTTATCAGGTTGTAGTTCTGTGGAATTCTCATCTTCATCTATTACACAGCGGCGCTTAGCAAAAACTTTCCTAACAAGTATATCACTGTCCTCACTTTCATCACTGTCATGCAATACAGATGTGTTCAACCTTTTACGCTTCCCAGGCACAATGCGCTCCTCATCCTCACTACCTTCTGTTACTTCCCCATCGTGGCTTTTCTCTTCATGACCTGAAAGGCTGTTGTTCTCAGCAGTTTCATCTTTTTCATCTACTTCATCTTCTGACGTGCTAGGCTCTTCCTCCTCAGAGGTACCTGAGGATTCATCGTTGCTGTCCAGTAGTATGAGCTCCCTCTTAGTGCGTCTCCAATCAACTCGGGATTTGGATGATGACAGTTCTGTTGCTGCTGTCTTATTTCTTGTTTCATACCTTCTGACCACTGTTTTTATCTCCATTGGAAGGCTGTAACAACACACCTAAATAAAAAAAGGTAAGTAAAATAAAGCACTTAACTACATTATGGCATTAAAAAAACAGAGAAATTAAAAAAAAAGTTACAAGGGCATGTGTATTTTGTCACATACACTTACGACTTAATACCATTAAGAGACGCACACAGAAATCAGCACCAACCAAAACTAAGCATGCACAGAAACTTCTGTAGAAGATATGCCTTACTCAGAAGGAAGATGAAGCGCAGAACTACCCACACCCAGCATAAATGAACGGTAAAACTCAGGCCTGGAGTGCAGCTCCAGGCCCCATCATCCCCTCAACGCGGGAAGGAAGCCTATAGCTGAGGCAGAGAGCTTCCCTGCTCCTGAGGTGTACGCCGCTCCCTCAGGACCATCCTCAGCAGGGCCCCACAGAGGAGCGGCCTCAGTTGGAAGGGACCACCCTACGCAAGTTGTCAGGCCTAACCCCCC